CATTTGATGTATAAAATTAAGGGGAAATGTCTAGAGAAAGCACAATATCAAAGTGTTAATTTGTATTTATCTTAATATCCACAACATTTGCGTAATAATACCAAATCCTTCCCATTCTTGCGAGTTCAGTCGAGCGGTGGTAATATGGGACAGTCTCTACCCTTGTGAAGAATAGCTGGCTCGAGTCACGAGCCCAAGCCCTACAGCAGGTATACCGGGGGAGATCATGGCAGGGGGGGACCTTTCCGGGGTGTGCATTTTGAAAACGATCGGGGTTAACGTATCCGGTTAACATCAATTCTAATTAGAAAATCTGGTAATTGTATATGATAAGTGAATATATTTATCTAATTAATACGCAAACTCAGCAAATGAAATTGAGTGTCCGCGGCCGGAAACATCACCCCCCGGTCTCTGACGTCAATATGACGTAGGGGGGTGATGTTTCCGGGGGCGACCTTTCCGCGTCCCCGTTATATCCTCTCCCTTAGCCATATGTGAAAGAAGCTGAATGATAAAACAAAACTCATTTTTAAGAAAGCAGCAGAAGATTCCGCTACACTTGGACAATGTGGTGGACAACCACATAATAAATACGGTACTTGAAACATGATTAAATACAACTTATTTTTTGTACAACTTTTTTTATTTATAAAACTTTTCATATATTGCCCACAGGTTATCAATGGATATTTATAAAAACAATATTTTAACTAGGAATTTCTAATCAAGACCTTTCATTCAAGTATGCGGTTAAATGTCAGAGTTACCATTATCTAAAATTTATAAAATATGTTTTATTTTTGTAGCTAGGATAATTCACACACTGTCCACCTGTTATGTTTGATTATTTAAAAGTTAGTATTATATTCAACTAGCTGTAACCCGCGGGCTTTGCCCCGTTTAATTTCTTAATTTTCAAGATTATCTCGTTCGCATGGCTCAATCGTGTCCTGGTTGAAGTTTGTTCGCTACGCTCACTCACCTTTAGGTTGGAGCTCGTTCGCTACGCTCACTCACCTTTAGGTTGGAGCTCATTCGCTGCGCTCGCTTGCCTTCAGGTTAGCTCGTTCGCTACGCTAACTCGCCTCCAGGTTGAAGTTCGTTCGCTACGCTCACTCACCTTTTGGTTGTAAATTAGCTGTTGTCATAAATGTAAAAGAAATAATAGTGCTGCACCCTGTTGGTAATCCTTGTAACTTTAATGCTATTGAACATCATAGAACAGAACCACCTTGTTTAATTGAAACAGCTGTTAAGATTCAATAATTCCATTTCTCATAAGGTTAACATAGGAAACTCCAGAGCCACTGGGGCGGAGCCCGAAAGGATTTTTGAAATAAGAATATGACTATTTGTTAATCGGGAATGTGAGCTATCATCATGCCAAATTTCAGCCCAATCCGACCAGTATTTTTCGCGTTCACTTGTCACAAACATACATCCATACATCCAAACTTTCTCATTTATAATATTATATATACAGGGTGTTTCAGTAAAGCGTAGCGGCAGGGCCGGTTTAACCCATACGCGAACTGCGGCCGCATATGGCGCCACGAAAAATTGGCGCCTTGGCGCCAACGGAACATTTTTTTTTTTTTGTGAACAACGTATTTTTTTTTATTTTTACTCAGAGTTTAAGTATTCAAAGCACCACAATAAAGGCATTTATTCTGTTTGTACCAACAGCATATGAAAAATGCGTATATTTGTACAGCACTACAACTCAAGGACTTAATGCCATTTGTAGTGAGCTGACGCTCGGCAGTCGGCAGCGTACTACAGCCATCGAGTTGTGTTATATACTTCGATGACTACAGCGCGGCGCCTGTGGGTTTCATTTCATGACTCATGTTCTGAACCACATTCTGATGTTCTGAACCAGATTGATACCAACTCTGCAAATTTATTATCAATTGCTAAGAGCTTTTGAACTGTTCAAATCGATAATTTTGTATTCTTTTTGTCAAGGTACCTAATAAATTTAGTTTTTCATGTTTTCTTCATGTTTAATGTGTTCAATTAAAAATTCCTCTCTTGTCATCTATCTACACCTGTTTTTCATTGTAATAGGCTTTAATCTATATCGTATCCAAGTTATCCTGTAATAGTATATTACGTTACTAGTCACTAGTCCTGAAAATAAGTGTTTACCGGACGAGTGTGGTCGTTCCCGTGCGAGACGGTCGAGTACGGGATTACCATACGAGTCCGGTTAACACATTTTGGACAAGTTATGTACGATAGTTTACGCCATACTACTAAATCTGTACAAATCCTTACATATTACCACCACCTAAAGGACTAAAAATCACTAGTCATAACCTTTAAGAGAGGTTATGTTTTTGTTTATAACCACTCATTGTCACCCAAATACAGTGTAATCAGCTGATTGGTGTCCGGTAAAACTCATTACAGTACAGTAGTACGCAATGAAACCCCATTTGATTAAGCTGGCGGCAAACAGCTGTTTTCTGGACTAAATCCTTGTGTGGGAAGTTCGTCAAAATAGTGTAGTGTGGCTCACATTTAGAAATAAATTGTTAACTTAGGCCGTGATGCTCGTCAAGCATGACATCACGATAGAAGACGGCAATGACGTAGGTATTTATTTATTTATTTTCCAAGGAAAGATTAAAACAAGCAGCTGATCACAAATGGCAAACATTACGTCATTGCCGTCTTCTATCGTGACGTCATGCTTGACGAGCATTACGGCCTGTTTTTTTAGTGTAGCCTTGGTTTTGCTAAAGTTTATACGATGAGTAAAAGTGTAAAAATGTTAAATTCCTGGGAATAATAAACAGTCTTTTATTGCAAGTATTCTTCTAACCTAAACTTATAAAAAAAGTTCTTCCCAAAATCTTTGGGAAAAAATTCACAAATAGAGTTAAGTAATGTTCATGGGTTGTGGGTGGGGTGGTGGGGGGGATTCTAAGTGGCGCTGATTCGGGTGTTCGCTTAACTCTGAAAAATTCCTAGAACCGGCCCTGCGTAGCGGGCTATGCAGATTCAGATTCTACATGCAAAAATTAGTCGAAAATGTAGAATAACTTTTTTTCGATTTCGGCTTAGTTTGGCCATAATCCGCCATTTTGTATTTTTTTGAAAATAATTAATAACTCAAAAACCCTTGGAGATACTTTTATGAAACTTGGTACAAACTTTAATTCTACAGGTATAAACATTCTCCGAAAATATCTTTGATCAGGCTCATCGAGTTTCAAAATGGCGACCATTTAAAATTTTTGTTTTAATGGCCGGTTTTCATTGTATTTACTTAAAAAATTTTAAATGGCCGCCATTTCGAAATTTGTTGAGTCTGATCAAAGATATTTTCGGAGAATGTTTATACCTGTAGAAATAAAGTTTGTACCAAGTTTCATAAAAATATCTCCAAGGGTTTTTGAGTTATTAATTATTTTCAAAAAAATACAAAATGGCGGATTATGGCCAAACTAAGCCGAAATCAAAAAAAAGTTATTCTACATTTTCGACTTATTTTTGCATGTAGAATCTGAATCTGCATAGCCCGCTACGCTTTACTGAAACTCCCTGTATATAGTAGGATAGCATTTATAGATACAATTAGTAATTTATTGACATTGTTCAAAGCATCATCCTTGTATGTTTGAAAATTAAAAATCTTGAATTTAAAATAATATTAATAAGACGTAAATTTGAAGAAGTCATATTTCTGATTTTGTTTTGTTTTGCAACATTCAAAATATTTCTTTATATTTTAATTTAATGTTCAATCCAATGGTTACCCCTTAATATTAAATTGGATTAGTGGAAGAAATAGTTATTTGTGTAACTAGCGTGCGAAGTGGCACTTTGCGCTCGTGTTACACATTATATATTTTCTACTGTTACTATAAAGCATATAAATAATTAGTATTTAAAACACTTAACAGTTTTAGGTTAGGTTAAATCCAAGCGTTGAACAAAAATGTGAAACACTGCACCAGCTGATTGTAGTCTTAATATAATTAAGTGTTTCCAACTTATTTTCAATCGTACATTATTACGTGCCTAATAAAAGCACACGGTTTTGTGTTGTTTGGTTAGAATACTGGAGTGCGGCAAAAGTAAAATGAGTGCGGCAAAAGTAAGTAAATGCAGCAATTACTTTCCGTGCTATAATCAGTACAAGAAAGCCCGCTTTGTCAGGTAACTGTAGGAAATAGTTATTTGTGTAACTAGTGGTGAAAGTGGCACTTTGCTGCACACGAGAGCAATGTTTACGCACTCGCCTGCGGCTCGTGCGGAATGATCTCGAGTGCAGCAAAGGCCTTTTTCACTCGTGTTACACATTATATTTTTCCTACAGTCACTATAAAGCATATAAATAATTAGTCTTTCAAACACTATACAACACGTTTTTAGGTTCAGCTGGCAACCAAATGGTGCCCTAGAGAAAGTAGTACCCGCGGTCCGTATCACTCCGCTATTTTTCCTCGGCAAAAAATATCCTCTGCGTTTTGAGAATATAGTTCCGAATGTTTTTGTAATTTGAAGTGGTTTCCGCACCTTAAAAAAATTGTTTAAAGGTATTTTCTTGTTTGTTAAGATCGTAGGAATTTTTTAAAAACGTTTAAAAGAAAAGTCCAGAAAGTTCAGAAATACTGAAACTATAAACACGAAATGACAGGTTAAATCGTAGTTATAATAGTCAATCAGCTGCTCATAGTATTATTATTTTTAAAGTGTTGCCAACCTATTTCCAAGCGTACACGGATTACGTGCATAATAGAACCACGCTGTTTTGTGTTGTTTCGTTGGAATCCTGATGTGCGGCAAAGTATAAACCGTACGGCAAAGTATAAATATGCAGCAATTAGCAGCTTTCTGTACTATAAACAGTACAAGGAAGCCAACTTTGTCGGTTGACTGTAGGAAAAAAATATTTTCAAAGCATAAAAATGTAGTTAGTAATGATTCTGGCTATGTAATGATTATGATATTATTGCTTAAAAATAGGTATTGAAACACAAATCGAATAAAGAAACTTTACTTCAGAATAACGTTGTTATAATAACAATTGTTCTATAAAATGTCAATAAATCACAAAACAAACAACTAACTTGTACAGTGTTTAAAATAAGAAAAGAATTAACATTATTTAAACAAAATAACATCAGTAATACTCTGAAATCACATATTTTTTAACATTTAAACAGGATTATTTGTCTAATAAAACAACAAAAGTAAAAATGTTAGAGTTAAGAAGTTCTATATTACTGTAACATATTGTTTTCTAAGCTTGTCATTGTAACTAGTTATTAACAGATTACTAGCTCACCATGTTTATTAAAGTCTAAATGCATTGAATATATTTATCATCATCAAATAAAAGTACACTAAACTGACCAGTGACCAGTAATATATATTTTTAAATTGAGAAGTCTTTAATTTTATTAACAGAACAACAAAAATATTTTAAAACGTCAATGAAGACGTATAAAACAATGTAAATATATTAGAAACAATAATTATGTAAGGCACATTTCTTTAAATATTCACTGGGCTCACAAAACAGATCCTCCTGAAGTCTGTCTACTTCTCGAGGATAAAATTACCAACACCAGTCGAAGATTTTTATTAAATGTTCAGTTCAACCATGCTTAGGTTTAAATTGTGATACGGCAAATTTTTTAAAACTAACTTATCAATTTTGATAGGAGAGTAGAAGACGTCCCATTCCCATGTTTATGTTGTAGTTGAATTGAGCCTACAACCAAGTGTTCTGTACCAATTACACAGTATGATTGTGTCATATTCACCGACTATCCAAACTAAACTGAAAGAAGAGCTTCTACTAGTTCAGACCTACTATAAACTATAGCATATTCAATCAAGGTAGCATTTCACATCAATTATCAAGGTATCAAAAACTAAGTGAGGCAATACAATTTTAACAGCAGCACACACTAAGGCAGCTCATTCAACTACGATCTTATTGATTGATAGATTGGCTACATGAATGAAAGATCTATTTCAGTATCGACAAGTCAAAATGTACCACAGACATCTTTGATCTTTCTAATTCCATTTATATACTTAATTTAGTCCATATTAGATACCGGTATTATAAAATAGTCAAATTTCAATGTTCACAAATTTGAAAAATGTAAGTATTAAGTATAGAAACTTAACCTCAGATCACTTTGTTTAATCAAGTATTTTGCAATTGAAATTTTAAGGGTGCTGAGGGACAGAGATTAAGCTCATGAGACTCAAAACAGTGATTGCACATCATGCACAGGGTGTTGAAATAAAGGTACAAAGCCAAACATGTAGATTTTCTGTCATCCTAATTAATACAGCTATTGATGTTCCACCAATGGAAAGGGCAAGTTTGGAAAGGGCCAAATTGTTGGGGTTGTTGTTGTTGGGGACCAATGTGGTGGGGGGGGGGGGTATAAACAGTTGTGTATATAGGTTTGTTTTGTCTTGGATAATTGATTAACTGTTACAGACTTGTTTATTAAGTGGCTAATGCTAATACATAACAATAAAAGGAGTCTTCTAAGTAACAAAACTTCCTCACCAAACACAGGGGCATCACCCTATACAGTTAGAGCAAGAAGCGTCCATTCTGAAAGTTTTGCTAGGAGTCACAACGGCTCTAGTTCGGAGTAACCTCCAACACACAAAAACCCTTTTATTGACTTGTAATGACCAAGTCAAACCACACCACACATAACCAAATCAAAACAAACTCATAAACATGCTCTTTCCATTGCTGGCATCAACTAAAGCAGGAAACCCACTACACTCTCCGATCCGACACAATTACTTTGCATGGCTTTAAATGGACAGTAACCCACTAGTCCGACCCGACACATTCTGACAACATTGCTCTGAGGGCATTGTCGAACGTCGGATCCGATTTTCCTCCAGTCTGCGTGCACAAGGCCTAGATTAGTCACTGTCTAGCTTCGTGTGTGGTGACATGAGTATTGACGAATGTTTGATCGAAGCAATTGGCGAGTATCCCTTTCTGTATGCAGTTAGTAATAAAGGTTATCATGATAACTGGAAGGGTATCGGCATTCTCATATGGATAAACTCCATTGATGATTGATGCAATTTGAATCCAGGACCTTGGTGACCAAAGCTCCGTACTCCACCAGACCAGCTCGCTCCCTTATTCTTTAATAGTAGGTGTCTGAAGTAGTTATAAAATAATTCTATAAATATGTGAAATAAGTGTATGAAGCCTAAAATAATCTATTGATTTAATGTGTATTTCTAGCTCTTATAGTGTATTGCTAGGTCTACTGTCGGAGCCCGTCATACCAATGGGTTATTGCCTTAAAATGTGCAGAAGGTGTCGGAGACTTGTCGGATCGGACTAGTGGGTTTCCTGCTTAACAGTTGTGTTAATAAAGAAAATACACCTGTGTAGTTTTGTACCATCTGCATACTTAAAACCACACTTTTTATGTACAGATATTTAGCTGAAAATTTCCTAAAACTTCTTCCAAGATCTGAAATACAAAAGGTCTAACTTTAAATGTTAAAAGTTGTCCTGGGCCAATAAATCAACCAATAGCCATTAAATTCCCATTTTGAAACATAGACTACATATAAACATATAATTATCAATTTTTAAATAATGACTAGAAAATACATTGTTTAAACAAGTTTGAATCTTACTAAGACTACTCCCTATGTATCTTCAATAATGTTTTAGGCGAAATAAAAAAAAACTAGATATAAATAGTATATTATGATTAAAACTTACATAAACTGTATACAAATATAAAATAATGGACATAATTGTAAGATTTGATAATAATGGACATATTATGATAAATATTGAAAAGTACAGCTCAGGATATATACAAACAAAATTAGATCAATATAAATTATAGTAACACATTTTATTCAGTGAAAATTCTATGATAAACTTACTAATTTCTTTTCCTGTTTGGGTAAAAAATTTACAAAACACTGTACCAATCTATGTTTTTACCTATGGGTAATGGGAACACAATAATCTCAAAATGAATAGATTATTTAGCTGGCAAATTTAAAATCTTACAATAACAAGCTATAAATTATACAAAAGTTTTAGCAACACAAAATACCCAGATTTAAATAATCCCCAATAATTATTTAACTTCTAGGAAAAGAGCCTATCGAATGCTGCTTTGTGCATACATTATTATAACCAAATTGATCTGTGTGAAAACACGCAATGGGAAAACCGTTATAAACCATTGTCAGTAAAAGTTATATTTAGCTGCTAGAGAGATGTATATAAAAGTGTAAGTACATCATAGTAGGGTGGGAGAATATCATAGGGTGGTTTGAGATCTAGCTTTGACCCAATAAAATTTTAAGTAATACATAAAAAAGTATTTTTTGAAGATGCTGCGAACATGGATGTTTTTGTTGTGTTAAAAATAAACAAAATGAATCAGAATGATTGAACTTAATAACAATAACAGTCTTTCAATTTCAACTACTTATTAAATTTATACAGGTCCAAGTTACTAACTAAAAATGTGCGATGGTTAGATATTACATCACCAGTGTTTATGAAACAGTTAAGAGGCCATACTATCTTCACGTAGGTAGCTTACTACCAAAAACTGAGAACAATCACAAGGTCTCCTTCAGTATTTGGAAATATGATTTTTGGAGGAAACTCTGTTGATGATAAAGAAGCTACATGTGATAGGTCTATGTCACCAAGACTAGGAGACAATTCATTAACTGGGCATTTTTTGGCTAAATCCCATATGGTAGTGCATCCATCATCATCTCTTAAGAATAATAACTGACTCACAACAACAAAGCTAGCCATTTTGTTGCTTTCACAGTTATCAAGCAGTTTTACAGAAGCAAATCTTCCTTCTTTAACCCCAATGAACCATGTACCACAAGGTGTTTTGGCATGCACTCCTGAATCGCTTATCATAACATGACTTGAAAAATGTAAACCTGTTGCCTTGGTTAGTTCTCTATTAACTCCATCTGCACCATGAAAATCAAAGGTGGTGGAGAAGAAACACATTTTTTGAAAAGCTGCAATTACATGAACCCTTTCATCAACAATTGTGCTCCAATATATTTGAACAGAATTGTAAGATTTGAAAATCTCTAGAAACCTCATTTCAACTAGATCAAAAATGTTTACTACTGTACCAGTTGCTTCTGTTACAATAAGAGGAACTTTGTCTTGGTCCCCTTTGAAAAATTTAAAGGAAACGTAGGTTCTACAATCGTCATCATTGTGATAAAGATGAAAACGTTCATAAGGCATTTTTACTGCATCCAATTTTGTCAAGGTGTCCATTTTCCACACATGAAGACAGGTAGTTGGCAGGTTTAGCTTATCAGTCCACGCCGGATAGCTTATCAATATATTACCAATCATTATGTGTTTGAACATTATATGGTTGAAGTTGGCTTTTAGTTGTCCTTGTGTATCTATTTGGGACAATTCATTGTCGTTAAAAAAAGCACACTGGAAAATGAGTTCAAACTTTGGTCCCTCAAAAGAATATACCTGAACTGTGTTGCTATAAACCAAAATTACTTTTGTATCCAAAATATATAAACTATCTTGTTCAACTGGAAATGGTAGTTTCTTCTCTGCACGGGTTTGAAAATAAGGTTTATTGGTTATGTTCCAAACCTCAATCCTATGAGCAAATGTCAGAAAAAGCCAATAGTGGCCATCTTTATCTAAGTGATTGATGATTTGATTTACTTTACCATCAGTCTTCGGGTGAAAAGATTCTATCGTGAAAAGTCCAGCCTTGAAATTAAAACGCAAACACTGGTCTCGGATGTAGCGCTCTCTTGCTGTACACAACGGCTGAAGAGAAGAAAGGTAAGGAGGACACAATATCATTTCCTTGTATTTTTCTTGGATGTTATAGTATTCTTCTAAGAAGATAAGGTGAGGAGTCCACAAAGGTTTTCTATTGAATTTCTCCCGCCATTTCCTGTTCACGGCTGAACAAGCAAGAAGATCTCTTGATTGCAAGAAGGCTGCAATCTTAGCCACAACATCATCAGGCAACCCTTCCATTAGTAATTCCTACAACAAAGACATAAAACTTAATAACTTAGCAAAATAAATAAACCTAGTGATTTTTCAACGTATTCTCATACATAATTTCCTTTATCACATTGAAAAAAGACATAAAAATTTGATTACAAAACTGCTTGAGTATAAAACATGTCTGTCCCAATCACCTAAAAAAACATAAAAAGAAGCCCACAGCCTTAAAAAAGTAAAAGACAAAAGTGATATCGAGTTGTAGGCCAGACAGTTTGTTGCTTAGGTTTTGGCATGAGAAGGAAGGTAGGCTTAACCTAAGAAATTGTCAAGAGATCTGTTGGGGATCCCAAGAGTTGAGACAAAACAAGATAAGTGTCTTTCCTGAAGGCCAAAGCCAAGTATGGCATCACTGGAGTGGTTCAACTCATTATCTAGCTACTGTACTTGGAAAACAGGAAACACATTTTTTCGCTGCATGGAGCCTTCTCTAGTAGCAGGGAAAGCACCATGGCGTGCCCCAAGGTTCAATTCTGGGTCCTGCTCTGTATGACTAACGATCTGTCTCTTACCAGATGAATACTGCTCTTCGCAGACGATATAACACCACTGACCAGGCACAGAAAGCTGAACAACCTACGAGCAGAGGCAGCATTTCTACTGGATGAATCCAAAGAATGGTTTGTACTGAGCTGTCTCAAAATCAATGCTGAGAAGACACAATACATCACATTCTCCCCAAACAGGGTATCGAAGACAAGGCGGTCAAACTGCAAGGATTCTGAGTCGATTCCATACTAAACGGGAACCATCATGTTGAGAAGGTATGCGTTAGGCTAAGCAGAATATAATTTCTCTTTGGGAAGTTAAAGCACGAGATATCACGTCCCTAACTGCTCATAATATACCACACGTTATTCCATATCCACATTAATTATGGTTTGGTGGTGTGGGGCCATAGCCATGCGGCCCAGAGTGTGCTGCTGGACTGCAGGCTCTAAGACTGTGATAACATCTTTCAGCCCTACCGACCACTGTCGGCCTATTTTCAAAGAACTTGGCATTTTATTATGTTTATTATGGTCTTATGTTTCTTATTGAGGAAATTATTTCCCAAATTGTGACAATTACTAACATAAAATTTTAATCTGCTTGTCAACATCTTGCTCGTGAAACTAATAAGTAGTACACAGGCCAACAAATGATATTGAGATAAAAGCCCTCATTGGCCTACTACTGGTCGAATCTATCCTCAGTTTAATGGAGAGAAAATTGTTTTGTAAAGACGAGTATAGTCTCCCGGGATTTAAAGAACTATTTTACCATAATATAGGTAGGTCCTCTGTCTAAGCACGATCCTAACATCCATTCATTTTTCTCTCCGGGATACTACCACATCGATACAAATACTTTTTAATTGTGCACCTCTCCATGTAATTTTTTTAACATATAAGCCCTAATCGCAGCCAAATTGTAAGCATAATCTGCGACCACAGTAAAATATTGGTTATCTGCCACGGTCGCGGAGAGGTTGAGAAAATCTTCTACGTTCACAGCAAAATATCATGCGCGATCGCGGAGATATCATCTTCGTCTTCTGCGATCGCAGCGAAATCATGAACGTCTCCTATGGCAGTGGGGAAATAGTCAACATCAATGGAATTATAAACTTCTCATGTGGCCGTGAATACATCATCTTGCCCGATTGCGGAGACATCATCTTCGTCTCGTTCATTCATGACGAAATCGTGAAGATCCCGAGTTTGCTGGGACATGATCTTCGACTTTGGTGGTCGCATTAAAATCCTGGACCTCTTCCACAATCGCGGATGAATAGAGACAACTATACGGCGAAATAGTGTAGCCGAAATACGGTTAACAGCGAAGTAATGAAGATCTTTTGCGGATTTCATCAACGCCACACACAATTGCAAGAAATAAAATTTGATCCTCCAAGTGAGGGCCCTGGCAACCGCCATGTCCGCCGTTAGGGAAAAATGGCTCTGAGGATAAAAAATCTACTAAAGGAGTATGTTTTATCTATATATCTATATACTATTATAAAATTGAGGTGGTGCCTGTCTGTATGGGTAGCTTTCATGACTAAAATACTAAACCGATAGAGCCAAAATTAAGCACAAATGTGGATCACATATCTAGGAATGTCATAGGCCTATTCACTTTCCTGAGTTCCTCTTGGGCTACACCCCTTGGAAGTATAAAGTTTTGAGGCGAGGTGTTCAAAAGTAAATATTAATATTGATCTCCATGGAAGCATGAGAAAATTCGCAATGTTTAACTTTGCGTTGACATTTCAATGTAAACAAGCAGAACTGCCAACCAGGGCCGATTTACTGAATAGGCATGGTAGGCACGTGCCTAGGGCGCAAGGCAATTGGCTTTTTTGGGGGGCGCCAAAAGTTTGGAAAATATAAAAAATTGGTGGTTGTATTTGCATGCGATCGCGGCAAAATTCTAATAATCCCTTGCGGCCGTGTAGACATCCGTAATCATCTCCCGTGTTTACGGCAAGATTCTTACTATTTTCCACGGTTGGGTCGTTTAATCATAATTATCGTTTTCCATGATCAAAGTAATATATGAGCATATCCCGCGGTCGTGAGGAGATTATCATCGTCTACCGCAAATGAGTAAAAATTCAGATTTTTCCCACGGTCATATGGACATTATCATCGTCTTGCGCAATCGAGGCATAATTCTGATCATCCCACACGGCCCGCGGCCGTGTAAAAATCATTATTGTATCTCCTGCGGTCCTGTAGACATCGTAACCATCTCCCGCGGTCGTGAATACATGGTACGTCTCCCACGATTGTGGCAAAATGTTAATCATGTCCCGCAGTTGTGTGAAGATCATCATCATCTTTCGCGATCGCGGCAATATTCCAATCATCCCTCATGGCCGTGTGTAGACATATTATCTTCTCCCACGGTCACGGAAACGTCACTGTTGACATGTGCGATCACGGTAAATTGAAAACTCCTGGTAGAAATACAAAATTCACACAATTCCTGGTTCACAAAACTCCCCCATGATTCCCGGTCGGTACACCCGTTATATATATATTGCAAAGGGCGCTACTATTAGTTGTGCCTAGGGCGCTGACAGGGTCAAAAACGGGCCTGCTGCCAACTTGCTTATTTCACAATTTATTTCAGACAGCTGATCCAAAGAAATGTAAATATAATATTTTACTCAACTATGTGGCAGGTTTATTTATTCTAAAATTATGTCATTGATTATTGATCAAAAATATTCTATAACTGTTGCTGTATCAGCCCAGCCCCTGCTTTTGATTTATTAACCGGTTTAGTCCCTCACACTCCTCTCAGTAGAGTCTCAAGACGCACGGGACTGAGTGTATTAAAGTTATGAAAAAAATGTTAATGATATATTTTCATGTAAGTAAACAGTAGGACAATTACATTGTAGACAGTACTTTTTTGTATTAGTTTAGTGGCTTTTTGTTTATAAATTCAAAATACGTAACAAGTGTTTGGATTAGGTAGTATAGTACATCATCCCATTGTGAATCACGGGTACAGCAGCTAGTACTATAATAAAGAAGAGGTGGTGTCTGTCTGTGTGTGTTTTTATTAGCTTAGCTAAAAAATTACTGAACCGATCGAATGGGCTCATATTGGATAAATATGAAGCTACAACTCTGGCGATACATAGGCTATAGAACAATTCCCGCTTTGATATTGACCTAGGACTCTGCCCCGTAGGCTTTCAAATTTCTGAGATGAGAGTTTTAACCCTTTGAGGTCTGTTATGGGGTCTCCCTAATGTCATTTCAGGTATCTTAGGCCACTCATAGTGCCCAGAACCATTCCTCAGTCCAGTATTGATGGTTACGCCCCGCGTCTGTCCCTCAGATACGGTAGGCCACTCATTGTGCAATGACCTGCATAAATTAGCCTAGCTGAAACGTGTGGTAAATTAAAGGAAGAGCTGATAAGTAGGCTACTCAGATTTGATCTCTTACTTGATGTGATTGTAATTGGAGTCAATAAGTTAAAACATTGTTACGGCCGTTTCAGCATATCCATGCCATCATCAGACGTTCAGCCAAGTGGCGTCGTTAATATACAAAATATTCAAACACAAACTGTCACACGCGACGTACACATACATAAACATAAACGGGGGTTTTTTACTAAACAGGCCTGTTGATTAGACATATCCGCACGCTATAAGAGCAAGTAGCTGACTGGAGTCATTCATGCGGTGTCGTGTCAGTGGCGGCATTATCATTTGTACTTTGCCCTCTTGGTCTTGAATCCTTCCTCTGACTTAAAATACTATTGAAAATTACATGTGATTTGAATTGTAGTTTGTCATTTAAAATAAGTTCGCTATTGTCATTTTTTGTATGTGCTTTGTAAATTTCAAATTCTTCCAGGGTGTCCAATTTATTGCCTTTTGTACATGTGTGAAGGATTTCCAAGCCAGTGTTGAGGTCATTTAGGTCGTGATTATTGTCCATTAGATGTTGGGCAAATGTAGACTTTTGTTTGTCAGCTTTCGGTTTCGGATGATGCTCCTTATATCTAATTTTAAAAGTGCGCCCCGTTTTTCCTACATAAACACTAGGACAACTAGCACATTTAATTCTGTATACCCCTGACCTGTCACCCTTATCAATAACCTTTCTCGTAACATTAAGTTTGTTCATAGTCTTGTTATTTGTCCTAAAAGTTAACTCTACACCGTGTCTTTTTAATTCTTTGGCCAATACATTCTGTAACGAATGGGAATATTCCACACATACATACTTCTTATCATGCTGAACTTCATTATTTTTATTCCTATTTTTACACTTCTGTTTGTTAATTAATCTGTCGATCATATTTGCTTCAAACCCATTAGCTGTTGCTATGTGTCTAATGATATTGAGTTCTTTCTGATAATTAGTGGGTGACATGGGGACGTTTAGCAGTCTATACACCATACTGTTGTATGCTGCAAACTTTTGTGAGGATGGATGGTAAGAGGTGTTATGTATTGTCTGGTTTGAAGTAGTTGGCTTCCTGTATATGCTGAAATCTAGTCTATTGTCTATTTTCTCTATGGTCAAATCCAAAAAATTGATCTTATTTCATTCTTCTACTTCCATTGTAAATTTTAAATTAGGTGATATAGTATTAAGATAAGTGTGTAATAAATCCAGTTGTCTGTTATTTCCGTTGAACAAAAGAATTGTATCATCAACATATCTGTGGTACTGCAATATTTTTTGCTTTTGTTTGTTGTAGTCTGAAAATATAAACTCATTTTCTATATAATTTAAGTAAATATCGGCAAGAATACATGACAGCGGGGAACCCATTGCTAGGCCATCAGACTGTGTGTAGTATTTTTCATTAAATATGAAATAATTCTGTTTCAAAACCTCTTTTAATAAAATCAATAACTCATCAATGGCTTCAGGTAACATATTTGAGCTCGTGGTTAGGTTATTTTTAACTATCTCTAGAGTTTGATCTACGGGGACATTAGTGAAAAGGTTGACAATATCGAATGAAACTAATAAATCTTGCCTCCTAACATTCAAACTTTTTGTTTTGTCTATAAAATCATACGTATTTTTCAAACTTTTGTCGTTATTAAGGGTTATTTCATTCTTTAAGATTTGTTCCAGTTTCTTAGAGAGAGTATAAGTTGGCGCCGAGGTATAGTCTACTAACAGTCTTATTGGTACGCCTTCCTTATGTACCTTAGGCAAACCTCTTAACACCGGTGCTTTAGGGTTAGTTACTGCAAGGCTCTTTATTTCTGCTTCTGTGAATAGTATTTTACAATTATTAACTAACTTTCTGATCTTTCTCTGAAAGACACTGGTTGGATCTTTTTAAATTTCTAAAATATTATTATTCACTATAAACTCGGTAACCTTATTGATATAATCCATTTTATACCATTTTATACATTTTTGGATTTGACCATAGAGAAAATAGACAATAGACTAGATAACACCTCTAACCATAACACCTCTTACCATCCATCCTCACAAAAGTTTGCAGCATACAACAGTATGGTGTATAGACTGCTAAACTTCCCCATGTCACCCACTAATTATCAGAAAGAACTCAATATCATTAGACACATAGCAACAGCTAATGGGTTTGAAGCAAATATGATCGACAGATTAATTAACAAACAGAAGTGTAAAAATAGGAATAAAAATAATGAAGTTCAGCATGATAAGAAGTATGTATGTGTGGAATATTCCCATTCGTTACAGAATGTATTGGCCAAAGAATTAAAAAGACACGGTGTAGAGTTAACTTTTAGGACAAATAACAAGACTATGAACAAACTTAATGTTACGAGAAAGGTTATTGATAAGGGTGACAGGACAGGGGTATACAGAATTAAATGTGCTAGTTGTCCTAGTGTTTATGTAGGAAAAACGGGGCGCACTTTTAAAACTAGATATAAGGAGCATCATCCGAAACCGAAAGCTGACAAACAAAAGTCTACATTTGCCCAACATCTATTGGACAATAATCACGACCTAAATGACCTCAACACTGGCTTGGAAATCCTTCACACATGTACAAAAGGCAATAACTTGGACACCCTGGAAGAATTTGAAATTTACAAAGCACATAGGCCTACAAAAAATGACAATAGCGAACTTATTTTAAATGACAAACTACAATTCAAATCACATGTAATTTTCAATAGTATTTTAAGTCAGAGGAAGGATTCAAGACCAAGAGGGCAAAGTACAAATGATAATGCCGCCACTGACACGACACCGCATGAATGACTCCAGTCAGCTACTTGCTCTTTTGCGGATATGTCTAATCAACAGGCCTGTTTAGTAAAAAAACCCCGTTTATGTTTATGTATGTGTACGTCGCGTGTGACAGTTTGTGTTTTTGTATATTAACGACGCCACTTGGCTGAACGTCTGATGATGGCATGGATATGCTGAAACGGCCGTAACAATGTTTCAACTTCTATGAGCTGATTGACGAAGGTAACCTTATTTATTGATTTAGTCACAAGATCAGCTCAGGGGCTAAAAAATATGGATTTTAATCAATAAGTTAATTCTAAATTTTCAGAGACTCTACAAATTGACGATTCACTAACTTTAAGCAAGGGAACTAACAAAGTTGGCAATAAGTCTGCTTTAAAACAGCAAAATGTAATAAGAGATTGAGTAGGCGACTTATCAAATGCAATTAGCTAAGAGGAAGTACCGTAACTAGGGGCCATTTAGCAATAGAGTTGGCTCTTTCAGAAATAAGTTGAGATGCAATGATGAAATGTTTCAACCTATTTCATGAGTAGGTACAAGGGGTGTGCCCGGCATATAACTTAAAGTTAAGTGTCTTAGATGTGGTGTCAAGGGACATTTTACAAGGTGATGTATTTTAAAACAAGGACATAAAACAAAGAACTGTAATAGGTAACTTACGGGAAGTCGAGGACAACAAGGAAAATGAAACTTCAAATTTTTGTTTAGGTGAAATTCAGGTTAAATGAAGTACGGCAAGGAATGCCCTGTAAGGTAGGCCTAGTTTAAATAGAAATCAATGAACATAAAGTTTGGTTTAAAGTCCATACAGGGCCGATGTATCAGTCTTTGGAGAACATCAGGCTCGACCCCTCAGTCTCCAATTAACTTACAAGGTTGCAATCATGTATTGTATGGACCAGGCAAAAATAGGCTTAACATTCTGGGATTATAAGTAGCTAAGGTTCTTCTGAATACAATGACCGAGTATTATCAGAAGATTTGTACGTGATAAAACAAAATTCCTCGTTGCTTCGTTGAAATGTAGGTAAGTTACTACTTAGTTTAGGTCTGATAACCTTAAGCCTAATGTCAATTTAATTGATAAGGATGAAGTCGAACAGTTCCCAAAGGTATTCAATGGGATGGGCAGTCTAAACAGTACTTACAAGCTTACAAGATTAACCTAAGAGAAAACACTCAACCTTAACCTTATGCAGTAATGTCCCCCAGAAGAGTGGCTGTACGAACCGAACTAAGTTTAGGCCTAGAATAAAGTTTTTAAAATTTAGCCAAATGTAAGTTAACTAGCCCTAACTTAAGTTTAGCCTGAGTTATTTGATTTATTGTAGTTTCTTGAATTAAAAACTGCCTACTTTGAAGGGAGAAGGGTTGTCGTAGGGTTAACTTTGAAGACAAATTAAAAACACACGATTTATGTTTAGGCCTAGGCTCAAGTTATTTTGTTTCTAAAAATCAGGAATCTAAGTAGATTGAGGAAATGAAATCCTATAGCTTAGGCTACGTTTCATTTTTAATGGCAAGATTTAAAACTGTTTTGTTTTATAGAAATAATTTGTAGATAGCTAAAGTGAAATGAAATTTGGTCATACCTTGTCACCAGCAGATTAAATCAAACATCAAGCCAAAGATCAGGTCATTTTATATTTAGTAGAAGTATCAATAACAACAATGATGGCAATGCAATGCCGCTTCTATCACAACCACCACGATGTCCACAATATTGTTTTACTAAATTAACTTACTATTTTCAGTTTTCGCTTTGTTTTATTTACTCTGACTGAGACTGAACTACGAAACGAATTCGGGAAATGAACGAATAGGTAAAATGAACTGAACTAAATGATTAAATGAAGCACAATTTTGTCGAAAAGTTTTGTTTATAAATATCAGCTGTGTATAACATAAAAAACATGTGGTTCTTCTTTCTCTTCCTTTAAATCTTTTCATAAGATGGTCAATGACCAATGCTGCCTTTAATAATCATCTATATAAATAAAATTAGAGTTTTGTCTGTACTTTGCTCAGAATTATATACTTTTAGGTTATTTTTACGTTTTATACATTAAAGTAGCAGAAACGAGTCTTATCTCTATTATTTCTGTCTGTCTGTCTGTCTTTCCCTTTGTCTGTAAAGCACGGGTCACACTAGGCTGTTCGCCAGCCGCTGGTGATCAGCAGCTGGCACCAGCATCACCGGCTCACCAATCCAGGCTGAGTCAGCTCAGTGTCAGCTGCGAATTTTGTGGTCACATTAAGCTTACAGTCGCGGCTTCTTTCAATTCGCCGCTGATGCCAGCCTAGTGTGACCCGTGCTTAACACTCAAGATGGCATTTTACGCAATCTTCTCCGTGAAAACCAGAGTACCTATCAAGATCCAAGTCATTTTAATGTATTCACTGGATTGGCGAGAGTGTCTTTAGTGATTTAAATATAGCCTCACTACTTTGTAAATAAAATTACGGACGTTCAAAAATGCAGTTTTGTGCGATTTTTGTCAAATTTTCGTTCAATTTTTATCACATAATCGTCTATGAAATAACGAACAGCTGTTCGGATCAAGATTATTTTTTCTAGCTGTCAATGATATGTATACAAATGTTGTTTACAAATACCGAAACCATTTCGAATCACGTTTTGAAAGCAAATCCCAACCAAGTGAGATTAAAAACGTTTTTCTTACATAACGGATTTAATTAATCGCAAGTGCAATAATATAGTCTAATAGTGTAACCGTAAATGAAATTAAATAACTAGACATCGTCCAAATCGGAACCAGAAATTCTTTGAGTATAAAATGTTTCTTGAGTTTTGACAACCAGAAAGAAGACCTTGAATCAGTGTTGTATAGGGCTGGACACTGAAATGATCGTCGCCAATAGCTTACAAAAAAGGTTTCCACTCATTGACGGCGCTTCAATGGCGGTTGTGTAAAGTGTAAAGTAAAAAATCACAACTGCAGTGGGTGATTGTAACAGAGGTTTAACGGAGGAAGTGCTAAACTCGCTTTTCCAATGTGTCACTTTCTGTTTCTACTCACCGTGTGATGCAATCGCTGGACCATACAGCCAATAGGCCCATAGCTCATATCTTGGATACGTAAGCCTACATATTTATTCATAACAACCTTTTTGACGACGATCCTTGATACCGGTACTTTTCCATAGAATACATGGCCTACCTACTTAAGAAATATAATTACAAATGACCAAAACCCCAACATTGTGTGATTTGCGTCACATTTCCTTCTAATGTTAATAGATATAATAATCATTGTTTAGAGAATGCGTAATCTATTAAATAACAAAAAGTTGTTTGGGTAAGGTTGTTTTTTTTTTCAAACTGACACCGATAAGTTTACGCTATAACTTTTTACGAGAAAATCCAAAAGCAAGAGATCAATAACCTCGGGACTAGATATTAATGTATTTAATTGGTCGGATGTACTATAGTTCTTAGGTAGGTTCTTACGTAGGTACTGGTTCTTTTCCTTAGAACCGTTGGTAGCTGCTAGAATCATTTTTACGTAGGTACCAACACATCACTGTAGTTTACAAATTAGCTATCGTTGGTGTTGCACCTTATTTATTAGAGCCGTCCGTATTCAATTTAAGTGATGTCTTAACTCTGTATAAGTTTTGCTTTTTCTGTCTGGATTCCAAATCTTAGCTTACCCGGTATGCTAAGAAAATGATAACCTATTTGAGTAAAACATTTGTTGGGCAAACCATCATGAATTGTTTACGCCTTTATATTGTTTATGTATCAATAGTTCGTGGCCTTTTTTGGATTGTTGTGTGTATGTCTGTTGGTAACGCATAATGTCCTTATTTCTCAGTGTTTCACGGAATTGACAAGAGCACCTTTGATACTGAAAATGTCAACCGGAATAAAGTGTTAAATGGTGAGGTTGAGGTAGTACTTTAAATACGTTTAAGTTAACCGATGTGGAAAGTAACTTTCAATTATAGGCCTACTTTAGGGCTATGCTTCATGGACCTATAAAACATTTTTTAGTTTAATCATTGGACATATGGACCATAACGATCCGGGTGACATTTAATTGCGAAGCATTTATTTTGGCTTGAACTGTCATATACTGTATTTGCGAAGGTTTATATATAATAGTTTTGCCAGCATATCTGCAAATATGCAAACTAATTGCTGTTCTTAATCTTAATATAAGAAGGTTTCAACTGACTACTATAAGATCCCCGTGCGTAGAACGGGCACACAGCTAGTCTTTTTCTACAAAATCTTACAGCTTGACATTGACTTTGGATATTGTAAGCAGACCTCTTTACTATCATAGACTATCCAAAACAAGTAGTAAGTTAATTGTTTTATTATATCTCCATGGTACAGCTGAAGCCAATTTCTTAGTTCCGTCCGTTGCACTGAAGAGGCACGGCCCCCTTTCTTTAACTGAACTCCAACCAAGCCGCGGCCTTCGAAAAGGCAGCGTCGCAACAGCTGTTTTGTTTGGAGACAGCTAATGGTATTTCTGTGTATTTGAAAAAAAAGAAGGTTACAGTTACTGGGCTATTAAAATATTGACTCCATTTTAAATATACTGGAATAGATTTTCAATTTAAATTGTTTTTTTTTTATTCTATATGTTTTATTTCAATCTTTTAATAAATTTATATTCATGAATTTAAATTCAAATAGGCTAATAATACTGTACCCGAATTAATAAGCTGGCGTCCCGGCATGTAATGTTATCTTCTGGGACGTCTGGAGCTGAACAAAACTACTTGCGACGTTGCCAATTCTACCAGGCCGCGGCTTGGAGGAATAACATCTAAAATAAAAACATTTTTTTTCATTCGAACTTTTACAACTAAACTCATTACTTAAAAACGCACCCTTGGAAATATATATTTGTATGTAAGTAAAAGTTTAACTTTATTGAATATTTAATTGATGGATTACGTTTTTAGTGTACTATGCGTGTAATTTCATTAACAATCAAAAGAAAACACAATATAATCTATATATTAATACGCAAGCGCGGATTTCTTTTCACAGTCATAACTCGATAGCGGCTGGATGGATTTTTACGTTTGATGTGTTAAATTAAAGGTATTTTTACGTAGATGCTCAAATACGTCTCAGAATATTATGAAAGGGTGTCACTTAAGTACAGTTAAGGGCTAAAGTTTCGGAACTATTGGATCAAAATTAATTTATTTTATTTACAACTTAATATATGGACATGGTTTGAAATAGGTAGTTCTTAAGAAGGTTAATCAAAGACTGCAGGACTTAATACTTCCAGAACAAAGCCTGAATTTATAATTTTTTTACATCACTGTTTACTAAGTCTGGTTCATCAGTACTGTAAAGTATTTCCTAGTAGGACTTGACAACAAATTTTACTGAATTATCATATTTGATGTGATGAAGTGTATGTTTAAAAGTGCTTATTTGCAATGCATTTGCCCGCAAATGCAGTTACCTTACAATTTTATCATATAATTCACAATGTGTTGTTTTCTGTTGTTTGGTTAGCACTTTCTTGTGAGCCTTAATCGTTATTAATAATTGCAATGCGCTCGTAAAATGTCTATGAAAATAAATGTAATGTATCCAGTGTCCTCTTTGCGAAAAAAATGTCATTGAAAAGGAAGATGCTGTTTTTTGCAAAGGAAAATATCTGATTTGCTGCAGTCGAGAGTGCATGGGCATGACTATTGACCACTACGATGACATCTCAGAAAGCAAAACTTCTTGGACTTGCCCCACATGTGAAAGTGTGGGGCAAGTCCAAGAAGTTTTGCTTGTAGTTTGTTTGTAAACACTTCCAAAGTCAACATTTTACTGGACACTTCGTCGCGGTCCATAGGGAACAATGAGTTGCTGTAGAAGAGCTTCAAGAGTTGATGTCATCCCAGGATGCACAAATCGCCGATGAAGATTTGCTGCAAATATCTGAAAAAAGGCTCTGAATTATTGAAACAAAATTCAGAACTAAAAAAATAAAATACTTTTCTCGCCACAAAACGTTATCCATGGATTAAGCTGAAATTGAGTCACTGAAACGAAATATTGTCTAACAGAGAAGAGGAACTTTTTACTAAACTTATTGCAGCAAAAAAAACAAAGGACGAATGAAGTGATTCTTAGAAGAAAACTTCTAGACACTTTTGAGGAACATGATCAAGACCTAGGACGCACTATAGATGCTTACCAAAAAAGAATTTATTGAAAAGGGAGTTTATACAAGAAAACGAACCGTCGACAGTATCACCCCTCCCCTACCACTTTCACACTACAGATGCTTATTTGCAAATCAATGACAGCCTATCACAAGGCACAAAAGTCTTCAGGGAAAACGATAAATGAGCTAAATCTTGAAAATGAAATAAGGTTATTAAAGATAGGATTGGCGAAAAGCTTGAAGACAAATTTGATCTCATCATCAGAACACCGCATGAGCCCCTTCCTTTCTCATCAAGATACAATCGCAACTGACACCTTCAATTTAGGGGTAGCGGGGGTAGGGGGTAGCTCAAAATTTTCAAATAGCAAGTATAGTCGAGTTTGGTATAATTTTGTAGGTCTTGACAAAACATAACAATTAACATAAAGAAAATAGAAATCGGACCATTATTAACAAAATGGCAATTCAAAATTACTTTAAATGAAGAATAATAAAATGTAATTTATTTATGTAGGCTATTGTTGGGAGGGCGGCGAGGCGTCCGAGAGTCTTTATGGGCTAGCCACCACAGAATGAAATATTTAAAACCTCGATTCGTTCTCGCCGGTTAGATACTCGATACTAAAAACGCTACTCCATAAACTCCATACCCCCCAGACCCCCCGGAATGGGTTGTCCCGTTTCGTACTCCAAAATATATGGTCACGGTAAGTATACTCCTTTTATCTATGCTGCTACTCAGAAATGAAAATGACGTCATGACACCCCGGTGAGCGAAATATCATACAGAGCTGAGCAGGTATGATGACGTCATTGTTCATACGATCGATAGCTAAGCTAGTCTTTCGATGTGGTTAGTTGGTGCTCGATAGTTTTGGTTTGTTGTTATCGAATAAGTTATAGCAGCTTTGCATTGCATTTGCATCGTACCGTACCTTTCCTGTAATGAAAATAGTATAGTCGAGTTTGGTATAATTTTGTAGGTCTTGACAAAACATAACAATTAACATAAAGAAAATAGAAATCGGACCATTATTAACAAAATGGCAGTTCAAAATTACTTTAAATGAAGAATAATAAAATGTAATTTATTTATGTAGGCTATTGTTGGGAGGGCGGCGAGGCGTCCGAGAGTCTTTATGGGCTAGCCACCACAGAATGAAATATTTAAAACCTCGATTCGTTCTCGCCGGTTAGATACTCGATACTGAAAACGCTACTCCATAAACTCCATACCCCCCAGACCCCCCGGAATGGGGTGTCCCGTTTCGTACTCCAAAATATATGGTCACGGTAAGTATACTCCTTTTATCTATGCTGCTACTCAGAAATGAAAATGACGTCATGACACCCCGGTGAGCGAAATATCATACAGAGCTGAGCAGGTATGATGACGTCATTGTTCATACGATCGATAGCTAAACTAGTCTTTCGATGTGGTTAGTTGGTGCTCGATAGTTTTGGTTTGTTGTTATCGAATAAGTTATAGCAGCTTTGCATTGCATTTGCATCGTACCGTACCTTTCCTGTAATGAAAATAGCTTTTAGGACATATAAAAATTAATAAATACGAGGTGTTAGCCCGTCCTACGTACGGGAGTAGTCAGTTAAAACTGTGTATAAATCAGAACAGCTAGCTTACACGTATAAAGACAAATTTTATAGCAGCCTACAGTAGAAAGAGTAATTATCAATTGAGAAGTGTATAGGCCTAGTCTACGATATCACCTTCCATTTCCATCGAATACCTGCCTCTTCCATAATCAATATCACCACAATACAACTACTCATACTATAGACAATTTCCAGTAGGCCTGAATATAAACTCCCTAAAATAAAACGAAAACATCCAATAAAATTCACAGTACACATAATTATAACGTCGGTGTCCTGACATCATTAAACGAATCGCCCACACATATCCTTTATATCAATTTCACTGCATCAATTGCTAAATAAATAAGTGTGAACAAAGAAAAGTAAAAACAACAACATATAGTTTGTTTTGGTAAACAGCTGAGTCAAAAATAAAATAATATTCATTTGAACAAAAGAACTGGTCACATGTTGAAGGAATTTAAAACGTAAAACACGCTAGTAAAGCTAGTGACGTAATTGTCTATGTTTATTGTCCATCATGGTATCAGTTCTAATATCCTAAATAATTAAACCACCCTCATTGAATCAATGTACATCGTAATTCCCCATATTCATTTATTTAAACTATACAATATTCAGCGCCTCCACACGCCAAACAACTTTTTAGATTTCATAAAAGGATGGTTAGTCTAATTGCAGTATCCTAGGTCAATGATGACGTTGTGCTCAATCTATGTCATTCATCAGATATCTTTGGATAAAACCCGTCTGAGGTTGTGGTGGTAATTTAAAATTGTATTCCTGAGGATTCTTGATCTTCTTCTTTATGACATCAATTTTTCCGGGCCTAATCCAAACAAAGTTTAATCATTCAAAAACATTGATTGTAAACAAACCAAGATGAATTAAAACGTGTAAAAATGGATTTTCCTACCCTTTCCTAAAAAAGTTGAGCAGTATAATAATTTGCATATCCTTTTTTTAAGACTCGTGTACAGAGCCTCGACTTGTACACATCGATGGTGTTACTTTTCTCGGTGGTCTACAAATCTTACTTATTTCCTAAAAATCAATGACAAATCAGAGTAAATACAATAACCTCATAGTTCTACAGGGCATTTTTATATTTAACCAGCTGTTAGTTAAAAGAAAATTATATTGCACTAAAACAAACCGAAGATTACAAAGATTTATAAAAAAATCCTTTGGACATCCTAGTATTTTACCTATGTATACTGTATTTAAATAATCTGTCATCCTCTTATCGATGGATTGGACGTATCAATGATTAGCATTACACATAGTATAAATAAGTCAACCCTTAGTATGTCTTTTAATTTTATCCAAATGCTGAATTTGTGTTACAAACGCTGAATGTTTACAGCTGTTATGTTAAACAAATTATATTACACCAAAAGCTATTTTAGAATCTTAGCGTCGGCTGCTAGACTTTTCAAAAATTAAAACTTAATTTCTAAATAACTGGGACCCTAAACTAAAATTATGGCTTCGACATTCCCTAGTTCTCAAAATCATCTTTCTTTCAACACAAAAATCATGAAAATCCGTCGAGTGGTTGATTCAGAATCGTGAAATAAAAAAACCCTGTTTCGTTTTAATATTATAGATGGAGGTCCAGAATTGATAGATAATAAATCCAGTTGGTCTATCAACAAATCACGGAATACATATAAACACTTATTTAAAATGATATTGTTTACAGTTTAAAATTTCTGAGTGAACTGCTTGTTCACTATGTTGATCAGCTATAGTCTAGAGTTTAATTTATATTCAATCCAGCTTGAACTACCCAGTTGTTTTCAAGTAAATCTTAAAAAGGTACTTAATTAAGTATGTACTTATAGGTAGGCCTAACTATATCGATAAGTCACCATTTCTGACCAAATTAAATTATAATAACAGCATTTATTAAGTAGGCCTAAAGCCTATGTATTAGGTCTATATTAATTAGGCCTAACTTAACGGTATAACTATCGTTGTTCATAAGTGTGTAAACGTAAACCATCTTGCTTTGATGTAAATGTTAGCTGTTTAATGTTGAAATAGATAAAATAAATAAAATAAAACCTGCCTAACAAGTAACTTATATTTAATTATTGTATAAGTTACTGTAGTTAACTCTCAGGCCTACTGATAATCTCCATTGACTTGTTGGATCAAAATATTTTATAATATTTTTAAGACCTAACAGGTACCTTTCATCCATTAAGTTAGGCGCCTTATAGTTCTTAGGGATTCTTATTTCAAACAACAACAGTGGAGTTTGAGACAGAAATCTACAAGATTTAAGTTAGAAAGACGCCTACTGGATTAAAAAATAGGTTTCAAAATCAACATTTAAATTTCTTGTCACCGGCTTCATAAATAAAAACTAATTTTAACATTGAAACCAAGATTTGTCCGATGCAAACTATGACGGTGTTGATAATTAAGTAATGGCTAAGTTATGTTAATAAAATGTAGGCCTAACTCCCAAACAAAAATTTGCCTAAGTTGACTTTACAACGGCTGCACTTTAGTTTACAACAACAAACAGTCTTTGAATTAAGTCAGCAGAACCAGAAGGCACTCCAATCCATTTTCGACTTCCACTACTCCAACAACAACAACTCCATTCTCCAGTCCCTGTTGTCACAGCAAAGCCGTGACCGATAGTCAAATATCGATACGAACTCCAGAACTAACCACATCGAAAGACTAGCTATCGATCGTATGAACGATGACGTCATACCTGCTGTGATGATATTTCGCTCACCATTTGGATTGGGATTGGGACAATTTGGGACGGGCTGGCCGCCGCCGCGCCGTCCAATAAGTCTTTACTGAATTGAATTATCCAATTATTTGATATATTTATGTTGTACGAGTATATTGTTTTAAGTACAGTACTCGTTAAAGTAATTTTAATTTAACTGAAGAATAATAAAATGTAATTTATTTATGTAGGCTATTGTTGGGAGGGCGGCGAGGCGTCCGAGAGTCTTTATGGGCTAGCCACAACAGAATGAAATATTTAAAACCTCGATTCGTTCTCGCCGGTTAGATACTCGATACTGAAAACGCCACAAACACAAACACTTTTCCTACAGTTACCTAACAATGTGCATGTTCTCTCACTGATTTGAGAAAGCAAAGTGGCTAATTCGCTCATCAGTGAGACAACGTTAACATTGTCTCACTCTAATTGCTTTGTCTCACTCCAGATTTGCAACGTGAAGGCACGAAATAGTGAGCACGTAACATACAGACAAGGTCGTATGCGCACGAAATACGTTGGCAGCACTGGCTGTTAATCAGCTGATCAGCTGTTGTACTATTGTATCATTATTAAATGTCATATTAAAAGTTCATTTCTGTGTAAAAATATGTTACGTTTCTTTACCAATTTATTTGTTTTGTGGTATCTGTAGGAAAATATAATGTGCAACTAATAGTTGTTTGTGTGACATATTTTTACACAGAAGTGAGCTTTTAATATTAAATTTAATGATACAACAGCACAACAGCTGACCAGCTGATTAATACAGCCAGTGCTGCCAACGTATTTCGCGCGCATACGACATTGTCTATAACATGTTACGCGCTCACTATTTCGTGCCTTCACGTTGCAAATCTGGAGTGAGGGAGACAAAGTAATTAGAGTGGAGTGAGACAATGTTAACATTGTCTCACTGATGAGCGAATTGGCCACTTTGCTTTCTCAAATCAGTGAGAGAACATGTGCAACTATTGTTTCGACGGTTTTGACCTTGAACTTGTGAAAAAATAGTGTAAGTTGTTGTTGGGGGTGGGGATAGAGACAGGAGAGAGGAGACAGGTGTTTACCAGGTGGGGGCGGGGGGGGGGGGGGGGAGTTAACAGGTACGGAAAGTAGACTGTGGAGTGGAGTGTGGCGTGCCGCTTGCCGCTCTGTTGTTGTGTCGTGTTTCGTGTTTAGTTGAAACGAGACCTTCGTACTTTCAACATGGCCCCCGTGACGTCCGAATCATTTCTGTAGTGTTGTTGTGTGGTGTTTTTGCCAATCAGTGACTTCTGTGTGTGGACTTAGAGTAAATGGTGACCAGTGTATGTGTCGTGTATTTCTTTATAAATTCGTGTAAGTACATATATATTTTTGTATTTTACATTTATATTTTTTACATATTTTTAACATGTATTCGCTCTCATTATAGCCTACGAAAGGGTCTTTTTTTAAGTTGGTGTTTTTATTTGTCATAATTACCTAGCTACTGTTTGCTATAATTAAAAAAAAACAGGCGATATTTAATGTCGTAGTACAAATTTGTTTTATGTTTGTACTATCTGTATATTAATAGGCAAGCATGTTTCTTTAAAACCTTTTTTCTCAGCTCGTGTGCATCGCAGGGAAAATCTACGCATACCGTTAGAAAGATATCTTCCTGTAGAAGTGCAAAATACCTTTAAAAATTAAAATAGGCTCAAATATAAGCACAAAAAATGAATTTGAATTTTTTTTATTATTTAACACGGGCTTTATGGGTTGCCATGATGGTGACGAAATAACAACGAATTATAAACAGAAAATCAAAACAAATGGAAGAAATTTCAATCACATGTTTTATTTACAGGGGGGGGGGGGGGTGAAAATAGAGAAGCCTGAAGAAGAGAAGCTTACATTACATTCCCATAGTTCATGTGAGCCACCAACAGATTGCGCTAATCTAAGTGACTTAAATTTCTATCGAATACATGATGTTAAGTCAAACTGTTTGAATTAGCTATAGCAACTGTTATGACCCATCAACTTTGTCAGCAACAAAAAAAGGTAGAAAATAGAATTAAAGAAACGCTTTCGGTGAATGGCTCACACAACTACATGTGTAAAAAAATAGCGACAGTTGGTCCATGTAGATGGAAAGTCTACTTCAGTATCCAATAGTCAATACGTGTATGTTACATGTTTTTGGTCGAATTTTCGACCACTGGACGACCTCTAGTAATATTTAATAAGGGAACTAAAGATTGTTAATCCACTTCGTCCACAGGTTTTATTCGCCTACCTTACTTATGAATCATGTAGATGGTAGATACCAGCATTGACACTTACAATATAATTTTGAACAAAATAAGACAACTTACCCCTGCCGCAGCAAACCTGAAGACTAAGCGAATTTCCATTTGCCTGAGTGGATTTTGACTTAAATAATTCCTTAAACATGTCAGATTCAAAGAGTTCTTAGGTTTGCTGCTACAGAGAAGGTAACAAGATGGGGTTTAGTGAAATATCAATACCCAACCCAAGTACCGGTATGATATAAACCGATTTGCCAAATTTGATTAGAATATATTCGTAAACAAGTAGGCTATATTTACAATTTTATGGATTTTTTTTAACCATTTAACATTAAACATTGCTTCAGTATACCAAGTTATTGGTTTTTTGAGCTCAACAAAATGGTTTGGAAAGAATAAATTGTAAAACTTTATGTTTTGGGCGTAAAAAGGGAAAATCCCAATTTTCACCCCATAAACCCCGTTTCCATACGTGATCATGCTGGTTCGCGAATCCGTGCGAATAAACGTAGGTTTTCACGTTTGTGCCAAATTTCATTAAAGTGGCACATTTTGGCCACGGGGGATCAAAACGGAAAAGTAAATTGGCTCCAGGTATAAATAGATCTTACCATGAGACCTACAGTAATAGCGTATTCCCAATATATGGGCAAACCCCTAAACCAATATTCGCTTAAACCTAATCAAATTAGTTTTTTTATTAGATTCTATGTAAATAAATCTCAAATTCAAGATAACACAAAATTGCTCTATACACAACATTTGTGGTGCTGAGATAAGGTACCGCCGTAGGCTACTTAGCTCCTTTGGTCAAATTAGACCTAGGCCTACCTACTTAAAAAAGAACAATATTTGCGACCGTCCATTGAAGGCATTTAAAAAAATACTCTTAAAAATCTGGTAATTCCGTACAAAACATTGATAAATATTGGTTTGGATCTTGGCCTAGAGTAGAAGGTCGCCAGTTCGATCCTGAGAAGACAGTCGCTTTTTGGGTAGTTTTAAACACATATCAGATAAATATGTAATCATGTAGTCAACGATCTACAATATCCACGACTAGTGCCAGTTTTGACCGAAATTATGTCTAGCATAATTAAATAACCAAAACTATCGTATCAGCAACTCAGATTCAATAACAGTGCTGATATTCATAATATATACGTACAGAATAAATAATATATAGGCCTACAATATATATATTCAATATATAATAGGTTTGTTAGTTCTGTCGCAACTAATTTCAAAACACATCACTTACTGTGGAGTGGAAACAATTTCAAAGTTATACGTAATTTTATTGTGCATTTTATTTATCAAACGAGGCTTTTTAAACTTTTCAACACTTTATATAAATATAACTTCTTGGCAGTGAAAGTATATCACGCGGGCAAGTTTAAATTGAACAATTGTAGGCTATTAGTAAAGTGATTAAACAATAATAAGAAAATTATGTATGGCTTAAGACTCACGTAACAAAATATCAAATTTTAGTCATACTCAGGGCTTAATCAGATCAATTGCTTACGATTTGAATCACCATATTTGACTCCTATTGAATTGAATCGAATTGTTGAGAAAATCAGGAGACACAATGAAGGAAGAGTGATGGGAGCGAGGAATTCATTACTCATTAGGAGCGATAGACAGGACGATGGGGTGGGATGGAAGATGGAAGCCACGTAGCAGGAAACCGGTTCTCTGGATAAAATATGCGTGTGCTCGAATTGATCCGCGGTTAGAGGGTAGTTTTGGATCATTCAAACTGACCCGGGGGTCTGGTATGTAGATAATAGGGTCGCTTGAAACATGTGATCTGACCCGCGAGTCGTTGAGGGAGGACGGGAAATTCTCCCCGTCCTCTACGGGAAAAATAAGTTGAGTAATAGACTTAGTATTTTCTTATATACCCACTAATATGATTTAACCTATTAGCTAATTTTAGCAATTTAATTGATTTGGCTTAATATAGCTAACCAAGTTTGGTCTTCCACTTATATTCAATTCCGTCCAAATATTCCATAAGTTTCGATATCAAACGGTTTCTAAAATTGGCAAAAAGTTAACATAATAATTTTTTATTAAGGTTGTCAATTAATTGTTTTGTATTCAATGAGGATAGCATTTCGGAATTTATTTATATAATTGATATTTGGTTTGCATTCAAAAAGTAAACAGTTTTGTACCACTTATAATCTTATCACCATAAAATAAAATAAATAGAAATAAATCGTAAAATAAAATATAAAATAAATCGTGTGTATATTAGTTTGCCTGTCAGCATTTCGTATACACAAAATGCTATCCTAAACTATTTACTAAACCATCCTTGCAATTGTAACGCACCTTTAGAGAGTAGTTTATCTCTAGCTACAAATGTTTACTTTTAAAATATTCAATTTTACTGCCAATATTCACTGAGAGTTGCTATGAAATTCTTCAAGTCTTAGTGCTAAGACTATGAGCGTTCAATACGGTCCAGAGTACAAGTAACTATATCAATGATTAAAATATAAAATTAATACTATTATATCCTAATAATCTCACACAAGTCAAGATCTTACAACAATATCAAGATTTTTCAAACTGCATACTTAGTCTCGACCGGGTCGAGTTTTCGGAATTCTTCTCCCAAATAGACATCGTTACGCAAGACATTTTTACAGGGAAGACGTTAGTCAAATTCCTTATAGGGTGAGTGTACCTGTGTATACCAACTCCCTGTGAATTACCTCTTCCTATATAAACATCCTATATCGCATGGTTTGGTTACTGAAAATAAAAGGTTTTGTACAAGGTAGCGTAGGCCCGCAATATGCGTGTACATTAAAATATTATATTTTATTCAATATTTGAATGGTTATCTAAAACGATCTGGAATATTCTAGGAGGTCTTATAGCTTAATGAATTAACTATGGAAGTACGTGATAGTAGTTAATCTGGAATGCTCTAGAAAGAATATTCCAGATTTGTCTAGATTGTACTAAAATTATCGATGATCTTAGAGCATTTTACATCATTCAGGGGTGTTTTTTTTATTAATATACACACCAAACAAGGTAGGTATGTAGGTCTTGAACAGTATAAAATATTCCCCCCACTAATAATTTTATAATCGCCATTGTATTTTGGTATGGGTATCGCGTAGTTTGCCGCTAGTCTTTTTAAACATTGTCAATAAAATATAGACAACTAGGGGTCCATAGCAGCAATTACTGCTTTATAGTTATGTGTACAAATTTAAAATAAATGCACACTTTTTACACATTTAGTTGCGGTCTTCGCCCAACAAGATACATTTAAACACCGCAGTAACATCTTATATAAAAAAAAACTTTTGCCAAACTTATGACAGCTAGCCTGACCATACTACTGGACCGAATTGCACGCGGCTGGTACCAAATGAAAGATGGTACCAGTTATTAATTATATTATATATAATTATAATAATAACATTATATTATTAATTATATTAATAATGATCTTATTATATTAATTCTGCACCTGTAGATGTGCAGAATCCCTTTATTAATTGAATTAAGCACACAAATAAGCACGAAAAGTGAATTTTAAATTTAAAAAAATTAACATGGGTCTTACGGGTTGCCATGGTGATGACGAAATAACAACAAAATATAAACAGAAAACCAAAACAAATGGAAGAAATTCCAATCACATATTTTATTTACAGCGTGGGGTTAAAATAGAGAAGTTTGCACAATACATACTTTTGGTCAAGTTTTTGACCACGGGGTGAGCTCTCGTTTTTACATAAAACAGAACACTAAAAACAATGAACATACAAATACGCAATGTTTTCATCAGCTGGTATGTTTAAAATAGCTTATAGAAAAACTGTAGCAGTACTACCATTAGAAAATGATCGGATCTCTGACGGCCTGTGGTGTAGAGCAGGGTTTTGACACTTCTGATATTCTGATATAATTTTTTCCCACCGTCCTTGGACCTTAAGCTTTAAAATGAATCCTCAACAGCCTTTTACGTAGCTCGAGATATTGAATGGAGACCGATTCACTTACGGAATTAAATTGATAGATATT